TGGTTTATTTTTCTTAAGTTTATATTACACTTTTAGCACCATGTTAATATATTATGAAAATTGTTTTCACCTGTAAACCTTTACTAAATGTGATTTGTCTATATTTGTTTGTATCACCTGTCCTTAAATAGAGTTTCCAATCCGGTTAGTTCTTCACCATTTGTACAAGGGGTTATCAAAAAGTTCGTGGATTGAGGCTATAAAATTAGTACTCTGTAGTCTCTACTTTCAAAATTTATAAGGGACATAAAACAACAAAATATAAAGAAATGTTGAAAATTTTAGCTTGATTCGTTCATTATTTGCTTAAATATGATAAAATAAAAACGATATTATATGATTACCCGACGCCGTCGCAATTTAGTTTCATGACATCCGACAACGTCATTGTTTTTCAATGTCCGCTTCTTCTACTTCATATTACTCGTATACTTAATTTGATGAGATTCCTTGAAGTTGAGTAAGGACTTAAACCCGTCTTGTTTAGATGACTTTACAATGTTAGGAACAGCCGCTTTCAATGCATATAATATTGCAATTGGATTTATAAACTGGGAGAGATCCTCGCTCGATTGTGCCAGCATATATTGCTTTTGAGAGAGTTATATCTACAACATATGATCAACGTCAATTTACGTATTTCTGTCGCTGGATTCGTGCCATTCAAAAGTAATTTAATAAAATATGAATTTTAATTGGGACATAAGATTACCTATTTCATATGTACCATTGTGTATATCAAATTAATGTTTCATCCTTTAAAGATTTGCATTGTAAAACACGTATTAATATTCCGTATAGTTAAGGAAGGAAGTAAAATGTGTTCGATAAGAATACCTTCTCTTATCTTAGCTTAATTGTACTTAATGTATATTTAGGTAAGTATTATCATTAATAGGCAGAAGCGGGCAGAAGGGAATCAACATTAAGTTACTTCTCTGAAATCCTCTTAAACTTATTATATAAAAAAAGCTGAGTATTGATAATTATGAAGAGTATATCACCTCTGTAAAAAAGGTTGGAAGAGAGAAAGAAGCATTTGTATTTGAATATGTCCAAAAAATGAATATTGTAGATCTCTCTCTCTCTCTCCATTTCTCTCTCTCTCTCTCAGTTTCTCAAGTAAGACATGCGTGTTTAAATATATCTGTAAATACTGACATATTCAAATTAATTTTCCTTAAGATTCTTTGCAAATTTGAGTATTGTACATTTTCTCATGAACTACAATGGAGAAGCATGAATATCTCTTTGTGATGTATGTCATATTTTTTTTTTTTATAATTTCATGTTATCCAAATTTACTAGAAATATTTTAACAATAGTTTCAAATGATTTGTTTCAATTTTTTTTAAGATATCACGATTTATTCAAAACTTAATAATGTCTGTTATCATACAAACGAAAGCAGCATAGAAATTAGAATTAAGATTTTTTTCATCGATTTGTATTCCAATTATGACTTAATAGCTTTGTTGAAAAGAAATGAACTTTGGAAGATAGGTAGTCCTCATTGAAAACGACAAAAACAATGACGTTTTAGAACGTTACGGAACAGCAGATAATTACGCAAATTTGTGTTTTACTCAGGAAAAAAACCTTAATAAACTCAAAAAATGTTAGTGAAAAAAATGTGTATGTGTGTAGAAAAAATACAGGCAGTATTCGAGTGACTGAAACTATGTATCGGATGAGGACAGTCTGTGAAGAAACGGTTTAACTGTAAAAATCAAAGAAAAAATTGAAAAATGAGAACAATTCTTAAAAAAATAAATCTTAAATACTGAAAAAAGAATTTAAAACAGGGCACTAAAGTATGCTGTGTTAAATATATAGGGATTGTATTTTTTTAATTTTATTTTATTATTAATTTGTTTTTGTTTTAGAGATTCTTCACTCTATGTTTTGACGTTGCATTGCCGTGTGCTCCGCGAGCACAAAACATGTTAATCTTAAAATGAGCAAAATTGATTTGATATGACGTGAAATGAAACAAACCCCGTACATAATTACTGTTGCAAGTTCTGTCAAACATACTTCATTTAAAAAGCAACTGCAAAACCAGCACTGTCTTTTCTTGAAAATGATAATAATGATAAAACATTATTATTGTCTCTCCCTGATATAAGTGTACTTTTGCATTGGTGATTGAGAATCGGATGTTTTCTGCTATCTCAAAATCTTGAGAGCTGACGTATGGGACTTTTGTCTGCAGAATGCATAAGATTGAAATGTGGAATTTAAATTACATTCATCTTACGCAAGTAAATCGATATTACACTTGAAGCTTGTCAAATGTTTTAAAACCTAGCATTATATGGTCCTGCTTTTTAATGTCGTTTTGCATGTCACTGAGTCGACTTAAGTGCTTGAAATATTTCACTACACTGATAACAACACTGAATGCTAAAGAAAGGATAAAGTTAATATCTTTTGGACCTGCTCCTCCACCAAAGTCAAATGTGACGAATAAAGTCAAAGGGTAAGTTTCTTGCAAATGTTGCTTTTTATTTTTTCCAAGTCTTGTCAAATAATAAAAATAGTGATAAATTTGAAGTCGGGATTACAATTACTGTAAAAGCAGAAATATTCGTGTGGGATTAAACTTCCTTTATTTTTTCGTTAACAATTATCAAAGATAATTAATCCAAGACGAAATTCTATATAATTGTGTATAATTTCCTGGTTTAATTTAGAAAGAACGAAGTTTGATGTCCACGAAATCTTTTTAGATGAATTAACGAAAGCTTATGCTCACAAGAATTGTGTTTTTGCAGTATCTAGAATATCAAATGGACAGTAAGATAGTGTATATAATTGAAACATATATTTTTATGTTAAAGAAATTAAACGCATTGAAGTTTCGACACCTCATAGCATATTTCCAAAGATATTACTAACAATATATACCAATAATTTGTTTCTTTATCTTGGTACATGTAATCAAGCCGATTGAACTAATACTACTCATGTAGATACAACGATAAAAAAGACCTCAAACTTGTAATCAATGTCTCTACAGAGTTCATTATAAAAACAGACTTTCACTTAATTGTTACTTTTGTTTTGTAAGGGACAGAAAGATATTCTAGTAAATACTGTACAAAAAGAATTCCTATTACCTTAAGATTGTAAATGGAGCAGTACTTTTACCTAGATATGAGATTACATAAAGGTTAAATAAGCATATAAATTGGAGATTTTAAAAGCGCCTTGTTTAAAGAGAAGAGAGAAAAAGAAGTTTGAAAAACTTTGAACATATGTATTTTATAGCTAGAAGAATTCAAAGATTTCAGTTTAAAAGATAATGTTTAATATATGATGGACTGTAAAAGACAATTGGTCACCACATAGTCCGATGGCACATTTCCTTATCGTTAGACTAGCATGCCAAAGCCCTATTGTGCAGAAAAACTATCAACGTTGTTGAATTTGCAGTGGACTTTTACGAAGAGGGCTGACTTTTACAGTTGCCGCTTACTTTTACACTAGGGCTATGTACGGTAGCTTTTTTTTTTATATAAAAATTTATCTCAATATCAAATTAAGGTTCATAAACCCTCTGATCACTCATATGAAATTTTTTTTATAACTTTTATGATTTTCCAAAGGATTGATCATGATTGATTGATTGATTTATATTGTTTAACGCCGAGGCGGCACTATTTCAGCCATATTTCGGCGGACAAGTTTGCTTTATGACCGGTTCAGTGAAAGTTTTTTGTTTCTCTGGCGGCCCCCATAAGCCTTCTCTTTTTCGAACTCCAGAGAAACGGTTTTTTGCGTGCCAAGGGGATTGTTTCCCTGACACGGGGCATCATTTAATGTCCCATCCGACGGACTCAAAATTTAAGGAAATGTATATGTTGAATAAAATACAAACGATTATGACATGGCTTGCGTGGCAAAATTTCACAAAAAGGCACTTAAACTTGACAATTTTGTAAAGAAATAATAGGCATTTGTGTCATTAAGAATTTTCTCTCTTATCAGAGTATCAATGTAGCTTAAACGAAAACAACGGGTTATTTCTATGCACATATCAGTTGTTCTTGAAGAAAACGACAACCACACAGCCATCAACTCCCGGCATTCACATGTTAGCTCCCCTAACACCATGCCTATAACCACTAAAGGTTTTCTAATGCATTATCAATTCTGTACCTCCATACATGAAACAAGTTTAAATGTAAAAGTAAGTCAGTGCTTCTCGTAAAAGTCCAATATTCCGTCAATCTTTGAAACCCTTGTTTAGTTTTCGAAAACGAAGTATTTGATACGTTACAAAAGGTGAATTGTTTTTCCTAATCATCGGACTTTGGCATATTGTACTATTGACTCTTTGCGGAGATCATTGAACTTTGGCTTGACCTCAAATAATGGTATCATTTATATAACATTTGACCCACCACTGATATTTTAAGATGTTCGGATTTACTTAAAATTTACATATTGTAATGAATTTCTAATCCCGATTAATTACAATTCCATATTTACTTTTCTCATAGTATTTTCCAAAATGATTGTTCCTTGACTACAAATGCAATGTTTTGAACCAGTGTTATATTGAAGAAATATTATATAATATACAACACATGTTAAAAGAAAAAATAGGTACAAACGGGCAAGAAAAACATTCTCTGTGAATTAAATCTGGATATGATTTTAGTTCCAAGTCTTACGCCTGTCTGATTAAAAAAATTAAAAAATATATAATAGTTTGACACGATGATTGCAGGATTTTGAAATCTGAGATTTTTTTCCTATAATCTCATCATTTGAAATTATTCAAGCTTTTATTTCTTAAAACAAATGAAATACAATGCAATCTAGATTCATCCCTTTGAGCAAACACCATATAGGTACGCATATTAAGGAAAATATTTAATATTTGTGCAAGGTGAAGGGAATGTTGCAATTTACTATCAGCCAATCAAGAAATACATGTGCTAAAATTGAATACCTTTTTGCTGATATTGCTTTTTTCGATTTCAGGAACGATGGCAACGGCACAGGTGTCAGACAGTAGCATTTGTCCACTTTGTTCTGTCTCTGTGGATTTCCATTGTGTTCTCTGTTGCACTGATTTATGCGAGAACTGTGTCCTTAGTCATCTAAAAGACAAAACAAATAAACACCAAGTTGTTGATATACGGAGCAAACACGAGTCAATTGTATTACCCATTTGCATTTCACATGGAAAAACTTGCGAGATTTTCTGTTATGATTGTGAGGAGCATGTATGTACCAAATGCTTAACAAAATCACACAGGGAACATCACTTGAAAGACTTAGAAACTTTCGTTGAGTTTATTAGAAAAAAGATAGCTTCTAACATAGAATGGAAGAAGATCACCTTAAAGAAATGTCAAACATTCAAAGATACCCTTATCTCTGGAGAGAAAGAATTCGATAAGATACTGAGTGAAATATCTCAGAGGGAAGAAAATATGATCGAGTCTGTTCACCAAGCAGCCGAAAAATTAAGATCAGATGTACTGAAACGAAAAACAGAGAGAATAGCTGAAAATATTGAACATGCAAGCAAAATTTCTAATGCAGAACACCAGTTGCAGAATGCTATTAAGAAATATGAAGAACTATTGCTTTCAAAAAATGCAAAGGATTTGATTAATTATAGCAGAGCAAAGGACAAGTTTACAGAGGATGCCTTGTTCCAAGGGAATAGAATACCGAGATTTGTAGTCGGAGGACTTTTAGATGAACATATAACCAGAATACTAGGTTCCTTGTCATTTGAAGATAACACAGAGTGCAAAGCTCCGGATTCAGGAACCGAAAATAGGCTAGCATTGACTACATTTCAAAGTCCACATGATAAAATATACAGATTACAATGTATTGGCAAAGATGAGATATGGATTGGTGGAAAATGTCGCCATGTCTATAAAATGGACAAAACTGGAATAATTTTAAAGCTTTTAGATAATCAGTATAACTGGAGTGAACCAAATGGATGTTTTGCCTTAACAATCAGTGCAAGTGGACATATATTCTACTCCCATGATTCCACTGTGTATTTGTTTGATAATACAGCAGTGAAAATGCACTTATTTGTAAATAATTGGGTAATTCAAGGACTATGCTTAGATAGAAATGGAGATCTTCTAGCTAGCATGCGCTCTAAAGGAATGCAGCAAAGTAAAGTTGTGAAGTTTTCGGGAGATTCAGAAGTGCAGAAAATTCAAAGTGATAAACAAGGGAAACCATTCTTCTCCACGCAAAGGACATTATTTTCATTCTCCAAGTACAACGACGATGCTCTCTTCCTTACTACGAATACTGACGGAGATATCTTTGTGGCGGACTGTCGCGGGGAGGCAGTTGTGGTGTTCAATGAACTCGGGGAATTGCGCTTTCGATATACTGGAAACCTCTCAGAACAAACAGAACTTAAACGTTTCAAACCATACGATATTTGTATCGATGTCAATCAAAACATATTAGTCTCTGATACAGAAAACGACTTATTCCATATAATAGACCGAGATGGCAACTTTATCCGCCATATAGAACAATTGAGTGTTGGACCTTTTTGTATAGACTCGCAAGAAAATCTTGTCGTAGGAGATATGGAGACTGGACTTGTTACGATATATCAATATCGTGAATTATTTAGTAAAAAATAATTTCAAAAGATATATATACAAAGCTTAAACTATTGTACACTACTAGCATACTAAGCGTTGTACAGGTGTACAGCTACATAAGATCTATGACAGAAATGCTTTCAGTTTGATGATACTTATTTTGTGTTGAACATATAAGAAAATTTTCTTTTCTTTTCTTTTTTTTTTTTTTTTGTAAATAGAGTGAAATAGTTTACAAACAAAGAAGTGTTCTTTTATAAGTACTGTTTTTTTCTTCTTTAAGAGGATTTTGAACTTTTTTGAGTTTTTTTTTCTGTTTTCCATGCGTCCCTCTATGTATATATTGCTCGTAAACTTTGCATTTATCATTATTTGCATTTGTTTAATTTTGCATTTATTTTTAGTACTTCAATGGAATACGTAAAGCAAATGTAAACAATCTTTGTATAAATTTTTCTTGGTTAAAGAGAATGAAAAAGTCTGTTTAAAGGAAATTATACTTTTTTCGTAAATAGAGAGATCATAAAGAAAAGGCAGGGTCTCAACATTCCTTTTAATATAGGGGCCAGTTAGACAAAATTTGACAAGTAAAATAAAAAAGAATGAAGAAATAAATAAAAAGGAAGCTTTTATAAATTCGAATTTTGTGGATTTGTTGTTTTCTTTTTTCAATTTCAATATTTTTTCATAAACTACTACCAAGGTTCTCCGTGGATCATTTAACGGGTAGGTTCCACACAATTAAATTCTTTAAATGGTTAAAATCAGCGCCACATTTCCACCACAGTTTAAATATTAGCACCAGAGTAAGATTATCGTCGTCAGTACAATAAATTTATATACCCTTATAAATAGCTTCTATATATTTATTAATGATAAAAAGTCCAACAAAGGAAATGTTTATTACATCGGTCTAACAATTTCACTGTTGACCGGCCTGCCGGTCCAACATAAGAATTGTTAGATCGCAACGTCACAAGTAATTAATAACCGTTCAATATAGGTGACACGGAAATAGCCCAAGAGCTGTAAGAGTTGTTGCTACCAGCAAGGTAAGGAAGAAGGGAAGAGTATGTTTTGTGATAAATAATTTTTGTGATATAGTTAAAATATAATTTATTTTGTTCTTTCTCAGCTATTGTTTTACATTTACTGATTAAGTCATAATATTTTATCATATAAAGTATAATTGACAATATAGTGTGTATTGATTTAAAAGTGAGCAGTGAAGGTTATAGCAAAACAGTTATAATTTTATGAATTGTTAACTTGAAGGTGAAAATGCTTTCACCTTAAACTAACAAATTATATGTTCCTCTCATACCCAGTCAATAACTGTATAATATATAAATTTATAAATCAAATGAACCTCTAAATTATATACCCAAAGTAGGGTCAATTGATTATTTTTTGCAATCTATTATCTTATGTAGACAATACTTGACACACGAATAAAATGAGACAAGTAATTTTTTTCACACATCACAATAATCAATATGAAATTTTTAAATATCAAGAGGTTCATACTTTAATACAATAGTTTTAAACATGTTAAAGATAACCGCGTCTCTACTATTGCAAAGCCACTATGTAAAACATTTTTACGTGTATCGTATGTATGTTTTTGTTTTAGCAATACATCCAGGAAAATATAATTTTACTTTTTTAAACTGCTTGTTTAAAAAGTTTTTAAAACTACAAATTTAAAGATACTTTTTTAGCATTTCGCGTTTGTCTTGCGCCACAGTTACATTTAAAATGATGGAGAACCTTGCTACTACATTACCCTGCTTTACCATTTTTTATAAATGTTGATGGGCAAACAGGTTTTTAATGAATATTTCGGAAAACAAAAGTCGCCTGCGTGGCACAGTGGTTACAGCGTTTGCTTTAGAGTAGCTAATTAATGAGTTGATCCTTACGTCGCGGGTTTGAATCCCACTGTTGGACGTTGAGACCAGTCCTTCGGATGAGACAGTATAAATCGTGGTTCCGAGTCGCAGTAGGTCTTGGCACGAAACAAATTCCCTCACTGATCAACAGCCATGAGTGCCGAGTATAGGACAAAATTTGCAGCTCTCCGACGACAAGTGGTGACATATCCATACAAGTGAAAAATTCTCGAGAGAGACGTTAAATAACAATCAATCAATCAGAAGCAAAAAAATTATGTTTCGAAAAAGTAAGAGCAGATCATTTCTCGAACCCTGTCCCCTCCCCGATGGTAAGCATTCAATGCACATTTGTTCAAATTATGGTAGCATAGTAAGGAAAAGGTTGACCATTGATGCACATACATGCAAGAATGACAAAAAGTGTCAAATGAAGACCATAAACGTTATGTTAATGGTCTTCATTGGCCATTCACATTAATAATAAACATCCCAGTGTAAGGACTGATAAACCTGTTCAATTATGATCCTTTGTGTATAGGAAAAGGGGACAAAATATGACAGTTTAACATGTGATTCAAAGGTGTTTTTAAATATGACTGCCGTCATCAGAAAAGGGCCCTATAGGTGAAAATTTCACAAACTGTTTTTTTTGGTAAATTATAATAGCCTGGCCCTTTATGACTAGCTCACAAGACTAAAATAGAGCCATGGATTGCTTTCAGTTATGAAATGAATGTAATGCTTATGATTGCTAACTGTATTTAAAATCGGTTTAAGTTGTATTTTCGAGGCGATTACACAAGTTGCAGGATGAAAAGCCTTTTTCTCTTTTGCTGGGAAATACAATAAATTGACTATAAGGAACTTTTGTCAGCCGAGCCATTATTACAAGAAATTTATATCGGCTGTTAATATGGAAAAACGAATCGTATCCCTTCAGTGCATTAAAATATATAGTAAAATCTGCTAACAAACCTAGCATCATCAACAAACACGTGTTTTTACCACTTTTCCAAGGTGACGTCAAGAACCAAAATACATCTCTGACCAAGTTAATTGATTTCTGGCCACTCACTCAAAAGTATTATGCGCATTAAGTTACCCTACGTTTTGCCTTTCAGTACGAGGGTCATTCAAAAAGTTCGTAGACTTTTGTTCTAACTTTTTTTATTTAACGTTATATTATATCCAAAGAACGAGTGCACTTATGGGCCCTGGTAAAATGTGAAAAAATAAATAATCAAATTAAGCAAAAATTTTGATCTCAAATCATTAATTGATATCTAAACCATACGATTCAACAAATCTTACCACTGAAATCCACGAATATACAAAGAACAAAACTATACAATGTGGTAGGGGTCAGCCGACATTGGCGATTTTCTATAATAAATCGAGAACGGTCATTCATTTCAAAGCCTTTGTTAACTATGAGCCTAACGTTGTGCAAACTTGTGCGAATGACAAAAGACGCATAATACATTTATAAAACTTGTGTGAAAGTATGAAATTTGCACACGATTAGGCTCGTACTTAAAATGTTAAAAATGCATAAAAAGTACAATGTTTTTTCTATAGCAAGTGAGAGCTATTTACCTGTATGACCCATGTTGAACCCACGTGTGGAATAAATTATTTATACTGATAGTCACGTGAGTTCTACCCAGGTAAACATTCCTCAAAAGTGCTCACTGTAAAACATAGGCAGGTTTTGTTTCAGTAAGTCAAAGTCGTGCCGCTTAGGGATGTTTGTATGTATTTGTTTTTAAAAACACGGGAGGGTAAGGAGATCTAAGTGTCGTTCATAAAGTGTCAAACATTTTTAACCTTCATGCAAGACAATGAAACAGGTATTGAAAGCCACCATAACACTCCCTTTTAATTTCAAATTCAATGAAACTATTATTGTAATTTTTCAAATGAGAGAGTACCAATTTCTTAGTTTAATCATTTTAGATACAGGCAACTACACAACTTCATTCCATATTTTTAAAAACAGGTTTGGCGCAAGAAATATCATTCCACAAACGCTCCCGACTATGATCCACCATCAGATTGTTCAAGTATCGATTTAAATATCTATTCCATTGATTTACATAAATGAAACTAAAAGAAGGTTCGGTACGACTTTTCCGGATTTATAGGGTATCCATAGGCCTTTCAAAATATTCAATTGTTTCAAATCCATGCTGATTTAAGTGGCGCTTAACATGCTTTTTGATTAGAAATATCCACTAGAATCTAACTATTACCAATAGAGAACGATTTGGTAATATATTCTGAAGTAAAATGGCACATAAAAAGGGCCCATTAAGTATTGCTTAAGTGCACTTGTCCTTTGGTACAAATAATTTAACAACAGATTCAAATAATTTGAGTAAAAAAAATGCACTGTATCTTCATATATTTATTAAAATTACTAAGGATTTAGACCAGCAAAAATGCTGTCACGGAGCACCGTCAAAATTGAGTAATTTACTAATTTTCACTTTATAGTATTTACAGCCATATCTCTAATAAATGGAGCTGAAACGAAATAGAATTTACATGTTTATATAAAGTATTGCTGTATTAATTAAAATGAAATCAGGTTATGTAATATGCCGCTCCGTTTAAAAGATATCGGTTTCTAAATACTTATGGACTTGATTAAAAAAAGCAAAAAACCATGACGTTGGAGGATATCACGGAGCAGCAAGTAGCAATAGAATTGTACTTTACATTCGGGAAACTTCTTCTACAATCCTAAAAAATCCGTATAAACCAGGATCTGCATGAAAAATTATGTGTGTATTTGTATTAAATAGAAAATACAGTTTCTGAGCGGTAGCGAGTTTGAATAGGACGATGGATTGTCTGCAAAGAAACATGGTAAACTTAAAAATATTGTCGAAAGAGTTAGGATTAAATGTGATGTGTGCTTCACTGTTGCAGAATTAATAGAGTTACACAGTAAATTAAAGAATTTGAAAACAATGACATTCTTATTCAAGCTAAATTTGTACAATTGTTCACAAACTAGGTGTTAAGTGTTATGGATATTTTTTTTTTTTGAATGGAGAAGAGGCTACAAACCGTGTTTGAAATTAAGAAAATAAGTATAATTTGACAGACTTTCTCAACGTTGTCTTACTCCGTTACAAT